ATTGTTTAAACTTTTTGTTCTTTTTATTTCTATTTGTAGAAAAATATCCGAAAAGATTTTACTGTATTAAAGAAAGGGGAAGTTTTCTTTACCGAGAAATAAATGGAATACTGAACGAAAGAGAATGATTACTACAGTGAATATTTGTAACTTATGTTAGATGTCAAGAGATTTCTGAATGTCTTTCACAAGATGGTTATGTTATTTTTGTGGATTTTACTGGTTGTTCAATTGTACCCATTGACGACACGCTTTGGTTTATATTGTGTTAATGTGATATGTTATATTCATATTTTCTTCTTTTTATTTTATATATAAAGTACCTTGACCTCTTGAGAAATATAGTGGAGTGATTTCTCACTACCTCCTACACAATTTTAAATTCAGAATTTACTTTCTCCTAAACTAACTGCTACTCAAGACTAAAGAACCCAGTTTATTCTTCTATTTAACTCATAGCTGCAAGGAGAAGTAATGTATTCCTCCCTTTCTCAGGGTGAATACAAAAGACCAGGCCTGTAACAGAGTTATTGGGGTGGATTTTATCAGAAAGTGAATTTATAACTGATGCTAGTTGAAAAGGGAATTAAGTAAGTAATTTCCTTTTTTTTTTTCTTATTATTAATACCATCCCAGGCAAAGCAATAATGTCACTATGATGCAAAAGGTTACTGAGAGTGAAAGAGAATGATAAGACTTTAGTGAGGAGAATTGAGAAGAAGGGGCAATAAAAGAACAGAATTCAGAGAAATAGAGAATGGCGATTGGTGTTGCATTTAGATCTTAGAAGGTTGTAGGTGGAAGGGAAGCAAGAATTTTGGAGGGAAGTTCCACAGGCGAGAAGTGTGAGAAAATAAATTATTAGAATAGAACATACGGTTGCATCTAGTCAGTCCAATGATAAAATGATGAATCTATTAGGGTGTCCCAAAAGTTCGTAAACACTTGCAAAAAATTGAAATTTTACTCACCAAGTAATAACAAAAACAACAAAAATTATTCCTCAAAATAAAGACCATCATTTTCCAAGACTTTCTGCCATCGATCTGCAAGCTTTCGGATCTGGTGAAAGTACCATTCAGTCGGCTTCGAATCAAAGAATTCTTGACACGCTTCCTCGACTTCATCAAACGAGTCGAATCGGCGGCCCTTCAGAAAATGTTGCATTGAGCGGAAAAGGCCGTAATCTGATGGAGCACAGTCAGGACTGTAGGCTGGATGTGGCAGAACCACAACGCCGTCCAGCTCTTCAAACTTGTCTGTGGTCTTCCTGGCGGTGTGTGGCTTGGCATTGCCCTGTTGCATCAAAGCGCGCTTTCGGTTGATCAGAGCCAGGTACTTTTGCTTCAACTTTTCGTAGACTCGCTCCACTTGCTGACAGTAAAGTTCGGCACTGATGGCACGACCACTCGGAACCAACTCAAAATGCACGATTCCTTCAAAGTTCCACCAAACGCACAACATGACTTTCTTGCCGAATCGATCTTGTTTTGGAACTGACGGTGTCTCTTGCCCTTTCTGAACCCATCGCTTGTCTCTGTTGTGCTGGATTGTGTTGCATAAAAATTCAGTTTTTCGCAAGTGTTTACGAACTTTTGGGACAACCTAATAGTAGCATATTTAAATTTGTCATGTTGGTGAGAAAGTGACTGAAGTCAAGACGCCTGGTCAGGATTGATTACATTACAGACACTTCTCTGAATTTTGTCAAGAATCTCAAGATATATAGTATTAGCACCAAGCTAGGCAGCAATATTCAATGCACAGACAAATAATAGGTTTGTAAATATGCAAGATGGATTCTAACAAGAAAAATTGTCTGGTATGATACAGTAAACCACCTTCCCTAGCGGTAGATCTAGCATTTGATTCAATATAATCACAATCATATCAGTGGAAAATTTGAGCCCAAGAAGACACAAAGAGTTGCTCTCCTGGAGGTTAGAATCAGCCATACTGATGGCAGTCAGAAAAGGTTCTCTAAGGTGATTAAATGAAAGCAATTTTATTTTGGAGTTGTTATAATTTACAAAACATTTCTTTTTCCAAATTAACCACTAGTTGGAGGTCATTTTTTTTAATCAGTTGCCAGTTTTAGCCTGTAAGTCCTGTTAGACTTGCTACTAAGACAAAGAGTAAATAGTTGTGTCATTAGCATATCTAGTTGGGAACTGATGACATCAGGAAGGTTGTTGATGAAGATATGAAACAATGTAAGTCCAAGGATGTGTGACAGGGGGCTGCATTTATGTGAAGTTAATTAAAAGCATGTCCATTCAACATGACCTTCATTACATTTTTTTTAGGAACAATTGGATTAAGCCAAATATTGGATTAAGCCAAATATTGGATTAAGCCAAATATTCATTGTCAGTTGTCTTTTCTAAAAGCTACTTCCTTCTTTACTTACTTTCTTATTACAACTTATCTTTGGAAATATTTTGACCAGCTTTACCTGAGGTATAACACAGGTAGGGAAGATTGACAGATGGAGTGAGATTCCCAAGCAGTGACACCAGTACAGACATCAAGAAGGGGTTCAGTTATAGACTCAGCTCACCAATTCCCCTTTCTACACAAATAACTGTTAATTAATAACTGTGCATAAAATGGGAATTTTAATTTCAAAGGTCATTATTATTAATAGAATTTATATAAATAAAATCATTTGAATTAAATTATGTTGCTTGTGAATTATGTCTTTTAGGAGATTGTATCTTTAATACTAATAATCAACAAACAACATTACATTCTTACATTGGTCACATACGCACAACACTCACTTGTTGGTTGACTTGTCATTTATCAAAATTTACTGTAATTCAATTCAAGCACATATAATTCTCAGAAATATATATATACATATATATATATATATATATATATATATATAATATCAATTGGTAATTTGTAGGGATAATTCTAAGGGAGATATTAATCCAAAGAGAGCTCAATGTAAGTAACAGAGCAATAAAATAAAAATAAGAATGAAAATAAAAATGAATATATTTATTTAAATATTCATCTCTTTAGACCAAAGTTTTTTTAGAAATGAAATCAATTTGTCCAGACAAAAAGGAAAAGGGAGAGGAAAAAAGAAAGAAAAAGGAAAAATTTTTATAATAAAAGAGGAAGAAAGAAAAAGAAAAATTTCAATATAAAATTTTTAAAAAAATTTAAGGAAGTTTGCCTATTCAACTTTTTATTGTTTGATGATGTGTTTTACTGTGGGATTAAAATTATTAATAAATTATCCAAGGTTCATGTTTGTAGAATTTATTAACAAGTTTAATCCTGATTCAGAAATTGGAAAAACATAATAAAAAGTTGAATAGAAAATCCTTTGGGTAGTAATTAATAAAACTGGCTTAGATGGATTCTGGCTTCCAAAATACACCTTATACATCTCTCTATCTCTCTTATATATATATATATATATATATATATATATATATATATATATATATATATATATATATATATATGCAGGGTGATTGAAAAGTAACACCACATTTTAAAATATTTATAATTTATTTATTAACTATAATTTTTACAAGATATGTATATGAGAGGAAAGTGTTTAGTATGAGGTTTTAGTTAAAATTTGATATAGCCACCAGATTTTGCTACCAGCTTCTCGAGCCACCTAGGAATCATTTCAACTGATTTCACCTGGAACACTTCACTTGTGGTATGGAAGACATAACTTCTTGCATTCAAGTTTTTTCTAAAGTCTTGGTTTGGTATAGTAGACTTACTCCTTTAACCAACCCCCAAATAAAAAAGTCACAGGGTGTTAAGTCAGGACTTCAAGCTGGTCACTCATACATGAAATAGGGATTTACTTTTCAATCACTATATATATATATATATATATATATATATATATATACTTAGTTGGATTGATGTGAGTTATGTTAGCTCTATCACTGATATTGAGCACTTTCCAATAAGTAATGCACATATATAATACATAAATAATATATAAAAAAAAATTGCCTATATATATATATATATATATATATATATATATATATATATATATATATTTATATTTATATACATACACATTTTTATATATATATATATATATATATTTATATACATACACATTTTATATATATATATATATATATATTTATATACATACACATTTTATATATATATCTATATTTATATACATACATTTTTTTTATATATATATATATATATATATATATATATATATATTATATACATACACATTTTTATATATATATATATATCTATATTTATATACATACACATTTTATATATATATATATATATATCTATATTTATATACATACAAATTTTATATATATATATATATATATTTATATACATACATTTTATATATATATATATATTTATACACATACACATTTTATATATATATATATATATATATATCTATATTTATATACATACACATTTTATATATATATATATATATATATATATATATATATACATATTTTATATATATATATATATATATATATATATATATATATATATATATATATATATATATATATATATATATATTTCAAATGTACCACCAAGTCAAGGCCAGAAGTTCAAAGTGAGTTCTTGAAAAGTCAATTTTTATCAGACAACAGATGTTACTGTTACATCAAAAGACATTGTGAAATTGAAAGAAAATAAAAATCAATAGAGTGTAATTAAACATAAAAGGATACAAATAGTAAGAGAATGAGTGAAGATGAAATAGTGAGAGAGTATAGGGTGTTGTTCCAAAACGAAGAGACAGAAATTGAAGCTGAGAAAGCATGAGTTTAAAATAAGAAAGATTAAATAAGAAATTGAGTAACAGTGACCAAAAAGAGAGAGCGGTAAGGAGAAAGAGAAAGATACAGAAGGGCAGATAGAGAGAGAAAGAGCGAGAGTAATCAAAAGACGTTGGCCAAAAATGAAAAATGCAAAAAATAACAAACAAACCTGTAAGTCTAACTCACCTCCCAGAATACCAAATGAAAAGTATAGATAATAAACATCTGTGGCAAAGATGCTCAGGATGAAGCCAAATGCAGTGAGGATACTACCAGTTACAGTCACTTTTTTACATCCATAGACACTAGTTAGTGCTCCAGCTAATGGACCTAAAAAATAACAAAAGATGTTTCTTTTTAGTTGCCTGCTGCAATTGGCTGGGCTTAAAGCAATAGGAATCTGGTGTCAACATTTGGAAATAATGTGTTGCATTCATAACAAAAAGATGTTCATATAAAATAACACAACAGTATTACAGTAACAAAAGTTGCATTCACAAAGGTTGAGTGAAAAAGAAAGAAATCACTCCACATCATGGAAACTACACAGTTAAAAATGTAAGTTAACTGACAGCTGTTTGATTCTTTCTTGATTTGAGAGAAGGTAGCCAATCTTTAATAAGTTAATGCTCATAAATGTTACACAAAAATTCCTATTTAAGCACTTAATAAAAGTGAAAACATATCCCTAATAAGGAGAAGAGGCAAAGAGAAAGTTTTTCCTTCATGACTGAAGACAGTCATTGTTTTCAAAATGTTATTTAGAATTTGCATTTATTTGTTGTCACTACATAAATTAGTCATTAGTTTCTGGTTCATTTCAGTATTCACACCTTCCAATGTATTTGTTTCTTAATTGTAATGTAATCTTCCTTGATATATAAAGATTGTATTTTAAAACAAAATTTGTTGAATAGCTTGTGACAAAGTTTATCATTACAATATTTAGATAAACTTTGGATTGCAGAAAGTTTATTTTCAGATGTAATTTTTTTAATCAATTCACCCCAAGCAAGACAATAATGCCATGCAAGGTGCTACTGGGTTTCAAATAGAATGAAGAGACTTCAGTAAGAAATCCTATCCTAAACAGGAAACAAAGGGTAAACCTCTAATTCTGTTTAAAAGAGCAGGAAGGAGTGTGAAGGGGACAACGGGCAAAACTACTAAAAAATTTTAGTTCATTCTAACTAAAAAGTAGGAAAGAAAAGCTTTGTTCTCTAAATAATGAATTTATCACAATCAATATAAATTAAAAAAAAATAAAGAAACAAGGAAATAAAAAATTCCAATGAGTATAACCAAAAGTGATCATTGAATTTCAAGAGACTATAATAAACAGAAAGATGATAGATATTGAATTCATTTTTAAAATAGTATAAAAGAAAATATATAGGACAAAAATTAAAATGTTGATAACATAAATGAAAACAATTAAATCCCATGATATAGTATATTCATTCTTAATAAAAATATATTCAAAATATTCCTGAAATAAAAACTGAATCAGAGAATACATATCAGATATTTAGTTTTATAACCTATATCTTGGTTTAAGAATGTTTCTCAACCCATACCAGTGACAAAAAAAAAATCAACTGCAAATTAATAAATGTGTCTTCTTAATTGATAGTTACAGATGATTCTTAAAATCTCACAATTTGCTGTTGATATTTCTACTACAAATTTAATTTGCTGTTAATATTTGCACTAGAAATTTAATTTGCTGTTGATATTTCTACTACAAATTTAATTTGCTGTTAATATTTCTACTACAAATTTAATTTGCTGATGATATTTCTACTATAAATTTAATTAACTGTTAATATTTCTACAACAAATTTAATTTGCTGATGATATTTCTACTACAAATTTAATTTACTGTTAATATTTCTACTACAAATTTAATTTACTGTTAATATTTCTACTACAAATTTAATTTGATGTTAATATTTCTACTACAAATTTAATTTGCTGTTAATATTTCTACTACAAATTTAATTTGCTGTTAATATTTCTACTACAAATTTAATTTGATGCTGATATTTCTACTACAAATTTAATTTACTGTTAATATTTCTACTACAAATTTAATTTACTGTTAATATTTCTATTACAAATTTAATTTACTGTTAATATTTCAACTACAAATTTAATTTGATGTTAATATTTCTACTACAAATTTAATTTACTGTTAATATTTCTACTACAAATTTAATTTGATGCTGATATTTCTACTACAAATTTAATTTGCTGTTAATATTTCTACTACAAATTTAATTTGCTGTTAATATTTCTACTACAAATTTAATTTACTGTTAATATTTCTACTACAAATTTAATTTGATGCTGATATTTCTACTACAAATTTAATTTACTGTTAATATTTCTACTACAAATTTAATTTCATGTTAATATTTCTACCACAAATTTAATTTACTGTTAATATTTCTACTACAAATTTAATTTGATGTTAATATTTCTACTACAAATTTAATTTACTGTTAATATTTCTACTACAAATTTAATTTGATGCTGATATTTCTACTACAAATTTAATTTACTGTTAATATTTCTACCACAAATTTAATTTGCTGTTGATATTTCTACTACAAATTTAATTTACTGTTAATATTTCTACTACAAATTTAATTTGATGCTGATATTTCTACTACAAATTTAATTTACTGTTAATATTTCTACTATAAATAAAACAATCTTGAAAAAAAACAACATGAAAGGATTTGGAAAAAGAGAAATAAAAACCAAGAAAATTTTTTTATCCAAAACTGTTAAGAAAATAATGGAAGTGAAACCATTTTTAAACCATTGCTAACAGAAGATTGTAAGCACCACCCACAACTTTTGCAACTACAAATAACTTAAAATAGTTTATTTTTAAGGACAAACACTGGAAGAGTGGAACTGGAAGGCAAGTTGTACTTGATTCTGTGGGAAAATTAATTTTACTCTAAGATTTTTACATGTTTAAAAATATAGGCAATAGACAAATGATAATTTTCTTTATAATTTCAAGAAATTTAATTCCCATAACAGTTGTTTTTGGATTTTGGATTATAATTCCAATTAAACACTATCAAGGTTAGAATTATAGTTGAGTTACTAAAAAGACATTGTAGATTATTAATGATTCAGACTAATTTCTCAAATACACATTTCTTTTTTCTAAAAATATAAAGCTTTAAAATTGTTTAAATCTAGCTTTCTTTCTAAAAATTATAACAGGCCTGAGGTAGCAAATTTAGAGCTATATATATAATGATATAAACTTGTATTTATTTTTATTTTAATCCTGGTGATGACAATAACATTCCATTTATGTTGATTTGGATTTTAATGTATGCATAAATGAAAATTTAGATTTTTACCTTTAAATATAAATTAATAAAAGATTATTTTTCAAAATTCAAACAAAACAAGAATATTTTTCTGCCTGAAAAGAATTTTTAAAATGATTTATTACTTGTTAACTAATCAAATAACTGTTGTAGAGTAGTTTCACAGTGGAGGCTTGTATTTCACTAAGTCGGTCCTAAAATAGGTTCGATGTACAAAACATTAGGAACTTGATATAATAGATAATGACACAGAGAAATCTAGTCGTGGTCACTGATACTTTTAGTATCCGACTAACGGTCGTCCGACATCGACTGACTGACCAACTCCCTGAGTGACTTTAGCAACTCCTACTACTCCTACTTATTATAGGTGGGAGAGTCTATTAACTATAGAATAGGTGTGTTCCACTATAACAATAACAATTTACTTATTTTTCTTTAAACACCTTAATAGGCAGCACATTCTTAATTATATGCATTCATACATAATTTCTAGTTGCATATAAACATTTGTATAAAAGTTGTATATAAATATAAGTATTTGTATAAAATTTCTATTTAAATGAGGAGAAACTTCTAAAGGCACAAATTTATATTGAAACAAAAATTTCTGTTTGATATTTATCAAACAACAAATCAAGATGAAATATTTTTTCTTCCAATGTCCATAAGGACGTTGGAAGAAAAAATATTTCATCTGGATCAACAGGGATTCAGGTGACTTATACACACAAGAAATAACTGTAAAAGGAGAATGGCCAACAAATACCGCACAACAGAATCTATTCTAAGAAAAATAATTCTGGTAAATTTGACAATTTAACAAATTTGAGAAAATGAATTGAAAGAAAACGTTTTTACTTACCAACAAGATAAGTTGTTGCTGGAACTAAAGAACCAACCCATGCTGTTGTACCCTTGCTGCTTCTGAAATACTGAACCCATTCATAGTAGAATATTCCCAAAGAATATGTGATACCATCTGCAATGACATGAATCATAAAGGATCCAAAAACAACCATCCAACCCCATCCACCATCTGGGATGTCAATATCATTTTTCTCTGGATTTTTTAGGGTCCTTTCATTTTCTTCATTTTCCTGAACCTTTGCCATTTTCTCTAATCACAAAAACACTAAAAATAAAGAAAAAAGAAATTTCAGTAAATTATTTCAGAAAAGTTTTAATTTTTTTTTTATTTTAAGGCTTAAGTTTGACCATGAAAATTAAGCAGAGTCAATAACTGAGGTGGGAGACATTTTGGGAACACCTGGCATCAAGAAGAAGCATTCAAAAGATGAGCATAAAATTTTGACTCTATTTTAAAAATATCTACCTGTGAAAAACAACACAATGTTAAACATTTAGAAAATGCTAAGTGATGATATCACCAAGTTTTAATTTCAAACTTCTGTAATATATAAAAACTCTGGATTATTATCACAAACATTATTATGATTTCTTTTTTAGTTTCAATTCTTCTGAGTATCACATTCTTTTTAATACTTTCTTTTTCCTTACTACTTTTCATTTTTCTAAATGTCACTCCTTATTGTCTTCAAATAAAAAACTTACTTTAACACTGGACCTACACACATTCATGTTTTCATTTCTTATATAAATATACATGGAAGCAGCAATATTAAAACAAAAACATGTAAAAAATCGCTACACAATTGTAGTTGTGTTTCAACGCATATAAATGCATCTCCTCAGGCGATTGTAAATTACTAGCAAATGAACAATTAATTTAATTTCAAAAGCAAAATACCTCCTCTTTTGAAAAATGAAATTTCTTATATTGTCCTATAATATCAGGATTTAGAAATATTCTGGATATTGCAATGTGAACAACTGGCTTGAGTGTATTTTTATCATATTTCCTTACATATGAAATATTCTAAATATTGAATATAATATGTAATATGCAGACAAATTATTCTTTGATTTTAAAAGTTTTTATTATTCTTCAGGGCATCACAGATATTAATTTGTATGATGTAAAACAAAAATACATTTTCTTTAGCATTCCTGATAAAGTAAACAGTGATTAGATATTTTTTTTTTTAAGCATTTCATCCCAAGCAAGGCGGGAAGACACTAGCATGTAAGGGGTTACAGATTACAGAAAGTTGGAGCGAGTGCAATGAGGCGTGAGAGAGGAAAGGATGAAGAGAA